TTGATGGAGAATTTGTAGTCCGCCAATTTGGTCTTGTAATAGAATTGTTAAGAAAGCCGGGTCTGTGTGGGCCCCGGCGCCCATAGTAAGTTCTGGCTCGGGGCAGGGTGGATAATAGTGGCCGATGAAAGTGCGCCCTTTGCCACATTCGATGGATGCTAGGTGTTCGGGTTTTAGGCCAAGAGCTTCCGATAGCAACTCAAGTAAAGTTTGTGCTAGCTTCGTGGCTTCATTGATGTACTCGATTGTTGAATCCCTTTAAAATTGAAGGTGAAAATGAGTTTATAAGGTCCAGTTTCTAATAGTACTGAAAAAATCGTAAGAACAACCCAAATTACAGAATTAAAATCCGTATTTCCTAATAAACAACATATTAAGCTCCTAATTTTTTATTTTTTTTTTGCAAGATTGGATAGATAAGGGTCTAAACAATGTCGAAATTCGTCGTGATTTCGAGTTTCTATTCGCTTTCACTTATGCACTTAGCACTAGTTGAAATCGTGGATAGATTACCATTATAATTTGTCTCTTTCGTCGATAATAGTATCTAATATTTGAAGCTAGTTCAATTAAATGAGTTGGATTAGATTGAATTGTAGCAATTTCGTACTAGTTAACTAATTAATTTCCTTAGTAAGATGCATGAATTTTTATAATATTAGACGTAATACAACCATATAGGTGCAGCACTGGGTAAACCTACACCCTCGTATAATAACTTGTAAACCATACGAAAGACGCAAACCATATTAAGCTAACCACGTGTGACAATCTCGACCTAGCGACCGTCGGCAAGCGGATTCGAATTTGAGTCAACTGACACAAACTCACTTGCTCCAACTGCTAAATCATCCCTTGCTCGAACGATTTTCGAATGATTTTGATGTTGAGGGGGTAAATGTTACGTATGCTATAGTTTAGAGGTGCAAAGTGTATTTAGCCCTAATATATACATATATATGAATCTCAAGAAGAAAAAAAAGAAAAAAAAAAAAGAAAGAGGAAATTGACCTGCAAATTAGAGGCAAGTCAAGGGGTTCAATGGGGTCAAAATTGGGCAAAGAAACGGTCAACGAGTCCCTCCAATTAGCAGCAGTTGACCGATACAGATCGACGTTGCTCGAGTACTTGACATTCTTCATCAAATCACGAGAATGAAACCCTAGCTTCACATCGGCATCTTCCTCATGGAATCTTTTGATTCCGTCCATCATACCTTCTAGAACGTTCTCGGAGATTCCGTGGTTCACCAATTGGAAAAATCCCCAATCTTTCGATGCGCGTTTCACTTGGCCGACGATTTTCTTGTGTTTGTCGTCTTCTCCGATTCCACTGAGATCTATTACAGGGATATGTAGCTGAGTATTGTTGGAGTACTTCTGATCGGCGGCGATCTCGTCGGACGGCCTGATGAAGATTCTCGGAATATTCCTTATGCCGGAGTCGATGAGTCCTTTGACGCCGGCTTTCGTTTCGTCGAAAGCCTTCAAATCTTTGATGCGGTCGTAGCTTTGTGTTGTTGCCTCTGGTAGAGAGTCTTTCATGCTTGAGATGATGTTCATTTTTTGTTTTTTTTTTTTTTTGGGTTAAAAAAGATGTTGAAGTTTGAATTCAATTAATTGTAGGAAATGTTTTCACTTTGAGTCTCATATTTATCATTTTATTTAGATATTTATTTAGCGTCGGACAGATTTGCTTGGATCGTCGAAAGGCGAATCCCTCACGCCCTCGTGTGTCCCTTGTCGGACAAGTTTTTGTGGAGGGATTTAAATTATGGTG